CGCCGCGCTCTCCTGTTCGGTGGCCGGCTTCTTTCGTAGCCCTTGAAGGAAACATGCAGAGGCCGTTTTTGATGTTTGTGCCGAGTTCGGTGGCTGTCGTTTAGGTTTGTTTTTCCCCAGGATTGGAGCTTGAACTCGGGGCCTGGGCGCGGTCCCTCAGCGCTCTACCGCTTGAGCCACAGCGCCACTTCCGGTTTTCTGGTGGTTCATTGGAGACGAGGTTCTCACAGACTTTCCTGCCCGGGCTGGCTTTGAACCCCGATCCTGAGATCTCAGCCCCCGGAGTGGCTAGGTAACGGGCGGGAGCACCGGCGCCCGGCGTCTTGTCATGTCTCAATGCAGCCACCACACCTGCCTTCAGAGTTGTTTTCGATGTGTTGCTAGAAGCAGTTGCCTTCTGATTTGTTCTGCAGTTCATCTATCCCTCCCAATTACCTAAGCAATGTTTTCTTGCATGACATCAATAACCTCATCCACTTTATTCTGCACGTGCTTAATTTTATTATTTCTAGGTCCAAATCTTGGTCCTGATGGTTTCCTTAGAAAAAAGTCCTCTTCTTCATCAGAATCATAAAAACTTTTCACAGAGCCAGTAAGGTCGCCATTGGGGTGGCACTTGAACTTGGGGCGCATATTGCTACTCATACTCTTCTACTTCCCGGCAGAGGAAGTATGCACCTGAGGCTCCTGAGGAGTCCTAGGCAGTGGCAGCAAGGGGAGGAAGAGGCCGGCCCGGCCACGGTGGGCGCAGACCGGCCACAGCTGCTGCTCTGCAGCTGCGCCCCAGCTTGCTCCTTGAAGTTCTTATCCACTTCATTCCTTCTCTTGTTGGAATGCCAACTGCATGTATTTTTAAAACATGTTTTGATATCAGCTCACCATTCTTGCATTTTCTTCTTTGATTTCAGAAGGCAGATTTACATTGAGTTCCTCAAGCACATTCTTAAGCTCATAGCATTTACTGTTCAGTTCATTATAGCAGTCTTTATTATTATTCCCAGTATTTCTTTTTGATTCGTAAAAGAGTTCCCTTACATCAGCTTCAACATCCACCTGTTCTTCTTTACCACTAGGGGTACATCTATAACCATTTACACATGCTAAATTTCCTGCCATCACTGCAGTCTTGCTGGGTTTTTTTTTGGGGGGGGGGAGGGGTTCTCTTGCCCTTTAGCATGCTTGTTGAAGGTGATGCAATATCGCTGTGTTGAATAACAGGAACTGGGGTAAGTAAACCTCATGTGATGATTTGTGTTAATCTGGCTCTTTGTGTTGAATGTTTGGTGTAGCTGGAGTTGTACCAAAGGCTCCAGATTCCTCTGGTGTCTGCTTCTGTCTCCCTTTAGCTTTCAGCTTCTCTACATTCTTCCTCAGTCTGTCTGGCAGCTGTCTTATCTATGATCCATGCTTACTTTCTTGAAGCCCCACTGGGATGGTGACGGATAAAGGAGGGGTACTTTCTAGGACCTTAAGGTTAAGGCAAAAGATGTTGATGGGCTGTGTCCTTGGCTGTGACCTTCACCAGTGCCACCTCCTCGGATGTGGCAGGCAGGCAGGCCTTGACAGGAAGAAAGCACTTCCCCTGGGTGGTCCCTTCCACTGTTATAAGCCTCTCTGCCGGAGCTTTTAAAGGGTCTTTCTCTGCTGTTCACCAAAGAATCAAGCAAAGCAGACTGGCATAGAGACCTCCCTCCCCTGCTGGGCCACTCAGCCCGCAGCAGTCCCTCACAATTACCACACAGCCACCCCGGCCATAGCCACTCACATCCTGACTGTGTCTCTGGGTTCAATTCTCCAGATTCCAGTTGTCTGATGATTCCAAGTTATTTTCACTTCATCCAGCTTTTCCTTGGCAACTTCCAAATTCTACCTGTCTCAATAAAAATCACAAGCACTTTTCAGTTATCCACATATGAGAATTGTACATTAGAAACCTGGGGTCTCCACACAAAGCAGGCAAGGGTGTGTGCCTAGCATGTGCAGAAAGCAGGGCTGGATCCCAGCGGAAGTCCCGCCCCTCTTCACCTGTCAACGAGGGAGCTGGGACCATTCAGTCATCTGTTGACGAGCATCAGTGGCTGCCCTTCCTCGCTCAGTAATCTGTAGATTCTGGGAGGTGGGCTTTTCCAAGACACAGGCAGTCATTGTACCCAACCTCTTCCCACCATGACTCCTGTCACTCTGTGCTTAACCCAGTACCTGAGCCCGCGGCCACAGGTGTCCCCCCGTCTCAGCCAGCTCAAATGCTCCTCGCCACTCAGGGCAAAGTGGATTGGAAACCTGGGCTTCAGTCCTCACCCCACTGACTGGCCCCCTTGCCAGGCTAACCCCTCAAACCTGACCCTTTGTCAGATGAATATACTCCAGGCCTGGGGCAGAGCTCAAAATGTGAAATGTAGTGCAACACCTGCACTAAGTCCTAAGTTCCTCCACTTTTTTGAGCCTCAGCTTCTTCCAGTGAAAAATGCAGAGGAGAGCAAAGGGTGTTGCACCGTGCTTGTGTAAAATGGATCCTTCAATCACTGCAGGAATGACGGTGCGGTGGGCCCGGAACTCGGGGGTGCAGCCTCTGTGGAGGCAGGGGACCCCGGTTTCATCCAGGGGCCTCCACCAAGCAGCATCACAGGGGTTGGGGCAGTCTTCAGAAGCCGTGTCAAGGGAGAGAAGTCTGCTTTGTGGTGGTTCTCACACATGCAACAAATACAGACCCAACCACTCACTTTTGTTATTTTATTTTTTTAGAAAAAGGATTCTGATACATGGCCCAGAGTAGTGCATGCACATCAGCAACCCCCAAGCTGACAGCCACCCCCAGATAACAACCTGAACGACTTCTCCAGCCAGCGACTTATGAAGTCCCTCCGCCTAACTATACCAATGTCCAACCTACCCATGGCTCATTTTAGTCAGCAGAGACAGCAAGTGCAGTGAGTTAGTGTCTTTAGTTATTTGGCAGGAACTACAAACAAGGTATACAAGAAGCAGCCAGCTTCATGCCCAAATCCCCAGAGTCTCCTCCATCTGAGACCATGATGTGTGTTCACATCAAGAACTTGTTGCCTCACTAATGGAGAGCTGCGTGGCCTGAAAGGCGGTGGGGAGGGGGAGGGGTACATTCACAAGAGGTAAAAACACAAAATTGTGGTTACAATTCATAGGAAGGCCAGTTTTTCTCAGCTATCAACCTGTCTCTATAACCCATGAATTCTGGGAAGTGGTACAGGCGTGTGTGTGAGGGGCGAGTTCTCTCCAGTCATGTTCACAGGAGAGTAAGACCCAAGGAATCTGCTTTTAGTTTTAGTGTATCCAGTGAGCTGGATTTCAAAAACTAAGGTTTTTGAAACTAGCTCTCAAAAGTGTTTCTTGTAGCCTGGCACCGGTGGCTCGCGCCTGTAATCCTAGCCACTCAGGAGGCTGAGATCTGAGAATCACGGTTCAAAGCCAGCCCAGGCAGAAAAGTCCCCATGAGACTCTTATCTCCACTTAACCACTCAAAACCCAGAAATGGTGCTGTGGCTCAGGTAGTAGAGCGACTAGCCTTGAGCAGAAAGCATCTCAGGGATAGTGCCTGGGCCCTGAGTTCAAATCCCAGGACCAGCCAAAAAAAAAAGTGTTTCTTGTGTTTCTCTAGGTTCTAGTTACAGAATGTTAGATGGTATTGACTTCAGTCAGTGAATCAATGCTAATTAATATTAAGAGACACATTCTCTAAGAACAGCAATGATAATGGGAAGCAGAGGGAAGCGATAGTCTAAGCAGGGAGGCGCAGGCCTGCCAGCCGGAATCCCAGGAATGGCCGTCAGGACCTGGGACTCAGGAAGAAAGAGGCACACACAGGCAACATCTGGTGTCCGGCCCAGGACACCAGGCGGGCACCTGGCCGACACTGGCAACCCACACCCAGTCCTGTTTGAACAGAACCTGTGTGTAAAGGGCCCTCCACACCCACACCCACACTCTTGCAGGACTTCCTTTAGCCCAAAGCCCCTGAAGGTGCTAAACAAACACAACCAGTAAACACAAATGAAGCTCTTTATGCCCAGAGTTCAGGCATTCCCATTATCAAGAGGAACCTTCCCAGAATGTGGGAAATGAGTCTCAACTCTCATACCAGCAAGGTGGAAGCATGGCCAAGGGTTGGTGAAGGACATAAAGTGACTAGTGGTCAGTAACTGTTCATTACCTAATGAGTGTAACTGCAGAAACTCTACCCAGAGCTGAGCACACGTGGGTGGCAACATGCGGGCTGGTGCTGTGGGCGTGGCTCCCGCCAGCCAGGGCAGCAGAGCTGCACGCACCCCTTCCCTTCCTGCCCTTCGCTCAACAGTTCAAGTACTACAGGGCTACGGGCGTGATCCTGGCCTGAACCTCCCCAAACACTGCCGTTTCTTAATACTGAAAGTGTAAGAAAATAGCTCATCAGTGCCACAGGTCAGGACGAACCTCAAGGAAAGGCTCACCCAAGAGCCTTGAAAGTAATTTTCAATTCTCTCTCCTGATGACGTTTCACAGAAGCTTCCTGATCACCAATTACTGACTTGCATGCTGGGTCCTTTCACAAGACCGCAGCAGAGCCCCCCAACAGAGCCCCGAGGGAGGCTCCCCAAGAGCCTTCCATCAGACCAGTGCTAAGGTAAAAACTTCTCCCCAACATTACCACTCATTTCCAAAATCCCCATGATCAAACTCAAACTGACACCCCTGCTTAACTTCCTTAAACTGAGGAGAGAACAGACACGGGCTCACCCCCTTCCTCCTCCGTCCCAAGGGGCTGGGCCCCCCAGCGCCCAACTCCTCCCTTCGCATCACCTCCTTCCACTGCATGGGCAGCAGCTCTGAGCAGGGCAGAGGAGGCCTGGCGAAAGGGACCCCCAGACTTCGCTTCTGCTGGAGAGGCGGACCTGCCCGTCTTGGCTACAGGAAAGGCCCCATCACAGGCTACCCTGTAATAATGCACCTAGACCAAAGTGAGGTAGCAGCAAATGGGCCAAGAGGTGCCTGGCAGCCATTTCTGCCATGCCCAGCAGCTGCATTGAGTAGATCTCAGTGATCAAAATGGAATGTCCCTTTGACAGGGGGCCTCCTTCCCCTGCAATTTAACAACAAAAGCAGGAAAGCCAGCAAATGAATGCTGATTCTTCCTGTTGTATGTGCGTAGAAATGCCCCAAAGTGCCCAGCACAATACAGCAGATGCCCACCCCTAATCCCCGTGCAACCAGCTGCCCTCCCTGCCTCCTTCCCTTCAGCCCCCCAGCCCATTCCTCTATGTCCCCGGGGCTGCTGCCCTGCCGGTCAGTCAGGGCCCCCCTTCTGCTTGGCCAGGGTGCACTTCAGCTCCCGCAAGTTCTCAGTCAGCACCTCCACCTCATCCAGGCGGCCGCACTGCTTAGCATCAAAGATGTAGGCCTTGATGTTGTCAATCTGCTGAAGGAGCAACTCCTCCTCAATGGGCTCCTCGGCCTCATCACTGTCTACCTCGAAGGGGTTGGTGCAGACGGGCTCCTCGAAGGGGTTCCCAGGGGCAGGAGGGCTGGAGGGCCCTGGGGGGGGGTGGTCATCTTCCTCATCAAAGGGATTGGGCCCGGGCCTGTCCGGGTCACCAAAGGGATTCCCCGATGCCTTCTCCTGCTCCCCTTCCTCCTCCTCCTCTTCAAAAGGATTGTACTCCTTGAGGGTGGCAGCTGCGGGGCAGAGGGCCGCCTCTGCAGCAGCAGGGCTGGCCACACCCTCCTCTGTGGGGCTGCAAAGGCCTTGGGCAAACGGGTTCAGGGAAGACGTGTCACTGTGCTGTGACATGCCTTGGCCGGGGACTCGAGCCACAGTAGGAGAAGGGGTCTCAGGAGCCGTGCCACTCTGAGGTGGGGACGGGTCCAGATCCAAGGCATAAGTGAGGTGGGTGCGAGGCCCTGGGCTGGGCTCCAGCTGGAAGGGTGTGAGTTCTCGGAAGTCCAGGGACCGGGTCCGGGTGTGGAAGGAAGACACCCGGAACTGCTCCTGCTCCCGCTCCCGCTCCCGCTCCCACAACATCTGCAGCTGTTCCCGCTGTAGGTCCTCCTCCTCCGCCTGCCTCCGGGACAGCTCAATGGCCTTCTCGGTCTGCTGCTGGTCATACTCGTCCTGCAGCTGCCGCAGGTTCTCCTGCAGCGTGCACATCTCGTCCACGCGGCCGGCGGCCTTGGCCTGCCTGATGAACGACGTGATGTTGTGGATCTGCTGGAGAAGGGGGTCTGGGTCCTCGCGCTGCCCTTGACCTTCTGACAGGGGGAGCCAGCCCTCAGCCTTTCTCAGGGGGGCAGGGCCCCTGCGGAGAGATGTCACCTCCCCATTGGCTGCACGAGAGGACAGGCCACTCTGCCTCACCTCAAGTCTTCGCTGAGACTCCAGGGATACCTGCAAAGACACCAAAACCACAGAACACCACACTAAGCCAGAGGCAGCGCACAAGGTCAGCCGCCATCTCCCGTCCAGTGACGCTCTATTTTCTCTCCTTTGGATTAAGATATCCAACTGCTAAAATCAGGAGATGCTGGCCTTGACCTTCAAAAATACAATGCAGCCGGGCCACCAGTGGCTCACGCCTGTCATCCTAGCTATTCAGAAGGCTGAGATCTGAGGATTGCGGTTCAAAGCCAGCCCGGGTAGGAAAAGTCTGTGAGAATCATAACTCCAATGAACCACCAGAAAACTGGAAGTGGCGCTGTGGCTCAAGTGGTAGAACGCTCGCCTTGAGCTGAAGAGCTGAAGGAAGCACACAGGCCCAGAGTTCAAGCCCCACGATTGACAAAAAAAATAAATAAGTACAATGACTAACAGAATGTAAGGGACATGATATTCTTGCTTAGCATCAGTCTATACTTTTCATAAATCACCACAGTCTAGCATCCATATCTCAGTGTAAAACACACATTTTTTTGGCCTTATTTTGGAGAGTGGTGGAGATCAAACCCAGGGCTGTAAGCATGCTGGGAAAGTACTCCGCCATAAAGCTACAACCTGCCACCCATATTTTTTCCATGTTGGTACTGGACTTGAATTCAGGGCGCCTGGGCACTATCTCTGAGCTTTTGTGCTCAAGACTAGCATTCTACCACATGAGCTACAGCTCCACTTCTAGGTTTTTGCTGCTAATTGAAGAGTCTCATAGACTTTTCTGCTTGGGCTGGCTTCAAACTCGATCCTCAGAGCTCAGCCTCTTAAGTAGCCAGGATTACAGGCAACACTCTGGCCCTTTCATTTTTTTATTTAAGTCATCCAAAGGGGTTTTACCATGTCCATTTATGTGTAGACTGTATCTTGACTCATTTTCTTATTAGGGACTCCATGTGGCCAGGTGGCCTGGAGCTCCCAATCCTCCTGCCTCAGCTGACTGCCAGGATAGCACCGCCATGCTCAGCCATTTTCTGTCTAACAGTGTGTACGCCAGTGGGTTGTAAAAGGAAGTTTCCAGAGATGAAAGTGCGGCCAGACAAAAGCAAAGCCAAAGCCGTGAGGCTCCGTGGCCGTGTGGCTCCCAGGACTGGCAGGCGTGAACGGCTGCGGAGGCCGCAGCTGCCGGATGAGTGGGTCCACACACCTGCCTCTCCATGGTCCTCTTCCGCTCCAGGTCCTGCTTTCTCTTCCATTTCAGTTCTTCAAACTGTTCTTTGGTTGGCAGTGACATCAAACCCAGTAACTTCTCCTGTAGGGAGTCACAGATAAGGTTACACTGAAAGCTTCTGAGGGCAGAGTAGACTGGCAAGCCCCGTCTGCCCAGGCTGGCACTCCACTCTGGAGTGATAGTCACCGGCAGCAGCGGAGGAGAAACTTGCCCTTCCGCTGGGCCTCAGCCAACTTCCAGATGGACCGCTTTTCCTCCCCGGCATCCAGCTCACCCCGCTGAAGTCTCTCCAAGGCTCTGCCCTGACCTCCCATCCACCCACCTACGCCTCCGCCCAGCCCTCCTCGAGGCGCTGCCCTGACCTCCCATCCACCGACCTACGCCTCCGCCCAGCCCTCCTCGAGGCGCTGCCCTGACCTCCCATCCGACCTATGCCTCCGCCCAGCCCCCCGGCCCCATGCGTCTCTCGGTAGTGTTTCTCACCTCTTAAGTAGCGCACATTCTACCCCGTGTCATCTGTCCTCTATGAGAACGGGAATGGATGTCCTTCTAAACTAACTGACACCCAGAACACTGGGTTGTTGAAAAGTCACTAATTAAAGGAGAAAGGCTGAGTTTCTGCACTGCAGGGACCAGCCAGGGCAATCCTGCCCACTGGTTCTCTTTGTCAGGAGCCCCAAGTGGTGAGCTGTGAGAGCCAGCTCAGATGCTCAATCTGCCCTTGACTCATTAGCGTAAACCCCAGAAGAGCCCCTAAGAAGCACAGCCTACAGAAGAGATGCCACACAGCACAGTATCAATCAGCAAAAATACGACGCCATCAAATAACCAATAAAGGATGGCGAACACACTGGAAGCAGTGTTCTTGCCACTGAAACAAGTTATGTGAGCACTGTGTAAAAAAGTGCCTGATATAAAATTCAAGCATATGTCCTAACTACAACTACCATATATACACATATATATGGATCTATCTATGCAAATGGAATGTGATGATTATGTTAGGAAAACAAGATTAAAAGTAGTTTTACTTTTATCTGAAAACTAGCTTTTTCTATAGATGTCCTTTACAATAGACTTATAACCTTTATAAATAATTAAATGAGCCATTGACCCCGATCTGCCTACCAAGAGGCTGAAGAGCAGCACAGTTAAGGGCAACACTTATGCCACGCAGGTCAGCTTTACCTGCACAAAAAGTGTAGCCGAGTATCTGATCATCCTCTGCAGCCGCAAAGTGTGAGGATGTGGTGGCGGGTCCTGGTTCAAGCCTAAGGTTAGGATCTTCTTACTAAATTGGAACAAACGCATAGATGTGATGGTACTGCCAGTCTCAGAAACAAGGATGAGGGGCTGGGAAGGTGGCTCAGTGGTAGAGCGCTTGCCTTGCATGCTTGAGGCCCTGGGTTCGATTCCTCAGCACCACATAAGCAAAAAGAAAAAAGCCGGAAGTGGCGCTGTAGCTCAAGTGGTAGAGCACTAGCCTTGAGCTGAAGAGCTGAGGGACAGCGTCCAGGCCCAGAGTTCAAGCCCCACGAAAAAAAAAAGCAAAGCTCAATTGGTAGAGTGCCTACATAGCAAACATGAGACCTGAGTTCAACCCCGAGTACAATTATTGAAGGGGAGGCAGTCTACTGCACACCTCTAATTTCCGCCGCCCGATGGTAAAGGCAGGAGGGCTGTGCTTCAAGCGCAGCCCTTGCAAAGTTAGCCAAGAACCTGTTTCAAAAAATATAGACAAAAGGGTTAAAGGTAGGGTTCAATTGGCAGAGCACCTGCCTAGCAACTGCAAGGCCCTATGTTCAGCCCACAATACAGCCATGACTGTTAAAGGGGGATATTTTCATAACCCAGATGTGGAAGAAAACCTTTAAACTTAAAATGTTGGGGGTTTTTGTTTTTTGTCAGTTGTGAGGCTTGAACTCAGCCTGGACACTGCCCCTCAGCTCTTCAGCTCAAGGAAAGCGCTCTACCACTTGAGCCACAGCGCCACTTCCAGTTTTCTGGTGGTTAATTGGAAATAAGTCTCCCGGACTTTCCTGCCAGGGCAGGCTTTGAACCGCCATCAGACCTCAGCCTCCTGAGTTGTTAGGATGACAGGCGTGAGCCATTAGCATCTGGCTTAAAATGTTTTAAATAGAGATAACCTTAAATATATTAAAAACCTTTGCATGGCAAAACTTGCCAAAAGCAAAGCTAAAAATCTGTCAAGCCCTACCAGGACTCCAAGGGTAGGAACAGAAGGATGTCAACCTCAAGGCCAACCTGGGCTCCAAGGTGAGACTCTGTCTCAAAAAACCACCATTGCCACCTACTACCAGTTCAAATTACTGTGAGCATAACTTAGGGAGCTTAAGAATCACTCAGTATTAAGAATACAGGTGGACTTGTTGCAACAATGAGAAGTACAAGTTGTCATGTCCAAAACGAGCTTTACAACGTGGGGGGGAAGGGGGGGAAGGAGAAGGATTGGGATTGGGGGGGAGAGGGGAGGCTGGGAAGGGATGTGAAGTGTAAACAAAGGAGGAGGCTGCAATGCTTGGTAAGAAATGTACGCATTATCCTGCCCATGTAATTGTAACCCCTCTGTACAGTATGTTCACAAATAAAACAAAATTAAATTAAAAAAAAAAGAATCACTCAGTAAACAAGATGCCTACTAAAACAACTGATTCCAAGAAAAAGGCTTAACAGTTAAAAAAAATCAGAAAGAGTGATGAGGAAGGCAACTTATCAGAGAAAAAGGCCAGAAACACAGCATGAATTTGCGAACTCCTCCAAAGCATGGACCTTGTTGTGACAAAGGAACACAACAGAGCCAGCACCCAACAGGAGGAAACATGGAGCCTTTATGACAGCACCAAAAGCATCTGCACACTAACGCGGAACAGGAATTTTAAGCAACAATATTAAAGAAAAAGAACAACTTAAACCACAAAGAAAAGATGAAACCCTGAAAGTGCGTCCTTCAGAAAGCTCCACTATTTAATGTGTCAGATCTACTGAACATGCAAAGAGCACAGGAGAGAGCTGTGAAGGTCTGGTAGCAAGACTGCTGAAGAATAGGTAAGGCAGTAGAGAACAGGGCTAGGGACTGGGAATATTTGCATACTGAAGAGAAAAAGTCAAATTCTGACATCCAGGGAAGAAGAAAAGGTCCAACAGGTGCTTTGAGCCGACGGTGGCACCGCAGTGTCTCGCAGCCTCACAGCACTAACTCCAAGCCAGACTTTTCTTCTGGTGAGGAAGTGAAGCTGCCCCAGGATGGTTATTTTTTGGTCGGTTGCGGGGTTTGAACTCAGGGCCTGGGCGCTGTCTCTGGGACAGCTGTCCCTGTGCTCAAGGCGAGCGCACTAACACTTGAGCCACAGCGCCACTGCCGGCTTTCCGGTGGTTTATTGGAGGTAAGAGTCTTCCTCCCCGGGCTGGCTTCGAACCGCGATCCTCGGGCCTCAGCCTCCGGGGCCCTCGGGCGCTCAGCTTCCCCGGGCCTCAGGAGCTTCCCCACCGACGTCCCCGTGGGCGCCACCGGTCCATCCTCACGCCCGCGATCAGCTCGGGAACCCGCGGCCATGAGCCCCAAACCAAGGCGTGCGCGTGGCCAGGCCGGGGGGTCAGAAGCCGGGTGAACGGGCGCGGGGGCTGAGGCCGGAGGCC